TTTTTTTTTTTTTTTTTAATTATTTTAAGAACAGTTTTAGATTTACAGAGAAACTGTACAGATAGTAGAGTTCCCACATACTGTCCCCATCCCCCACCCGCCCCTCACACATAGTGTGTGAGGCTTTTTAAAGGGAATGATGCCTACCCAGTGCTCTTTACATAGGAGTTTGCAAATGCTGCCCCCTTCTCCTAGTTCACACCTTACTCACACCCTAAGACTATTAATCTGCATGCATTTTAAGTATCTAGAAAGCAGCAGCCAAACTCCCACTTTTTGTTTCTAAAAGGGTATCTTTAGAGGACAAGTCCCCAAGCAGTTACACACCGCTGGTGAAAACCTTGTTTGAAAGTAGTTCAGAAATACTTGCTTCTGCCTCAAATGATTCTGGAGAAAGTTCATAAAAAGCACCCCAGAATGATGATATTTTTGGAATCAAAAATCAGAATACATGATCAGGTTTTTAAAAAGTGTATTTTAAGAGCAAAGAGCTGCCTGAGAGATGTGGTTTGGATGCTGATATTAAAGGGGCAAAAGGAGGAGAATTCTATGCAATCCAGGCGGAGCCTCCACATCCGAAAACTGCCAAAAGGCCTTGCCCCTTCAGTTTTGAGCCTTCGCAGCACATGGTCAGTCCTGTAAAGGAGTAGCTAAGCTATTCATTTTCTTTAGAAAAGAGAGGCAAGTTTACCTGCTTAGATTAGAAAGAAGTGCCCCTCAGGGAGTTTATATGCTGCAGTGTCCAGAAACCAATGTGCCTGTCATTTCTCATTCTGCTTTTGGTAGAAGACTATGAGGGTTGACTGTGGCTAGGAATTTTAAAATGACAAACTAAGGTAATTAATTCTGTGTGAACATGGTAAATCTCATTCTGCAGGAGAAAAGACCCGAAACATCTCAACCACTAAGAGTGAAACATGAGAATGGAATCAGGGCAAAGCAGAAAAATAGCATGTTAGTCAGGTCAGAAGATAAGATAAACTTTACATCTAGCAGTTGCCAACAAAGGTTAAGGCTATCTGGGGAAAATACTGGATGTACCTTAATATTTTGTTTTCTTTATAAACTAAATGCATAGTCACTAATAAAAGTAACTTTGTGAGATTCAAAGTGCATTTCAAGTGAACACATTTCCTTTAGAAGCCATTTATTTTGGACCCCGTGGTCATAACTGAGGTCCTGTTACTATCTGCTGATGACATACCCCTTTCTGTTTTGGGAGAAATAACACCTCTTGAAAGTAGTACAAACACATCTACTCAGGTAAGGAGATGGCAGTAAGTATTACTCCACTCTTAAGAAGCTTTTTGGTTTGAAATATACTATGTGACTTGGAGGAATGGCGATCCACAGTCCACGTAGTTTCACTTTCTCAGGTTTGTTCTGCTCAGGCGAACATCCAAAGTAGAACATTACATACAGGAACTCTTTATAGACACAGAGGCTTCTCGAAAACAAAAATTCTAGATTTTTTTTTATTTGTCATTTAAAAAGTGCAAGAATTTTGGACCTCTATCGGTACCTGGCCACTCCGAAACTACCACTGATCACTGGTTTAGTTATGTTGTCACCAAATTTGATCCCAGCTATTAGCAAAAATGCCACACAAAAGGCCCTGCTTTGCAGAAGTAGAACTGCGAACTTCTGGTTTTCCAGGGTGTTCTCAGATGAGTTCTGGTTCAATTACCTAGAACAGCAGAGATGATTCCAATGCACAGACACTTGGCACCTTCTGCACATGATGCCTTTTAAGTTACAAAGCCAATTCTGCCCTTTAAACATAAAGACAAACTGTGCGGCATGGCTGGGTTGGTTTAGTTGAACTGCCTTCCACCAGTGACATTTCTGCCCATTTCTTAGTGGAATACTCCTGGGGAGGATAAACTCATCACTGTTCGTGTTTGCTGAGGTCCAACATCTTTATCCCCTTTGCCTTATCTTGATGCTGCCTGATCAACTGAAAAGAAGCTTAGGATTTATTTTCACCTTTAAGTGGCTCTATACAGCTAAGTCATATGGTCTACGAGAAACAAGCTTTATTGTGAAAGTTGGTTGGGAAAGGTTATTGTTTTAAGTATGTTAATGGACAAGCTCTGGTGACAAAGTATATGCCACATGTCCAGAGTAAGGCTTGATTAATAAAGGTCGAAAGAAATGAAGATCCCTAAGAATGTGGAAAGGAATAATGCTACTTGAAAATTCTGACTCCCTGCCAACACTATGGGCTATTCCCTTAAGATATGGGCTATTCCCACAAATTCATCAATCAAAAAAGAATGCATTCAGCAGTAACTGACTTAGGAACTATGGGGAATGCAGTGTAAGACTCCACCCCTGCCCTTGCCAGTAAAACTCAGGTAGAGAACAAAGACTAGTGTACCGGAACAAACCAGTCAGTAAGACACTCCAATAGCTTCAGAACATGGCAGTGGGTTAAAGAGACCCGCCAACCTGGAATTTAAAACACTGGGTTTGAATCCCACCCAGAATGGGAGGGCAGGAAGGAGCAAAAAAGGCAGTCGCTTAATGTCTCTGGACTTTCATTTCCTGGCCTTAAAAATGAAGTGACTGTCCAGGTGACATGATCTCTAAGGTCCCTTTATTTTTATGAAATCACATTTATTTGAATACGTCTCTCAGCTGTTGATCATACATTGCAGTAATGTGCCTGACACAGCTTCCTGCTTCAGCCTAGGACAGCTAGGGTTCCTCTCGCTCAGTGTCTGGTCCTTGGGGAAACAAAGACTCTGGTTGCTCTAAGTACAGCCCCTCCCATCTTGCCTCCAAGTTTGGTACAAGCCACCTCTCCCAAAGTCCCCTGCACTGCCTATTCCTAGACTGTTGGATTCGGTGACCAGAAATCACATCAGTGAACCCATGATCAGCCCAACTCAAGCTCCAGTCACTCTCCTTTCTCCTTGGCTTCACTTCCTCCTCCATTCAGCCCAGACTTCAGGGCGCATTGCGTCAACCACTCTCTTGCCAGCACCCCAGAGTCCTCACCCTCTGTCATTCTGCCACATCCACCTGGTAGTTCCCCAACTTTGAATCTGTCCAGCCATCCCAACCATCTGTCTTCTCTTCTCCTACACCCAGGCTGCCAAGATGGCTGCAGGAAAATATGCCATCAGGTGGACCAGAGCCACCGCTTACATGTCTCCTCCAGCCTCAGAGATTTACCCTCTGCTTCGGAAATGGAAGTTCCCCCACCACTCCCCTTCCCGGTGATTTTACACCTTCTCCATTTCCTCAAGTCCCTTGCTCGCTCCCTGATACCATGTTCCTCCCAGCAAACTAGCTTGCTAGGAGGTAGTGGTTAAGAAGCTAGGCTCTGCTGGTTGCGGTGGGTGGAGGGTGGGGAGAGTATGTACGGAGAAAACCACAAATTCTGAACTCTTTGTAGCAGGTTTGTTTCTGTACTGGTTTTGGCAGATGACTCTGAAACCATCTTAGATGTATTATACAATTGAGCAAATGAGTAAATGTGTGATGTTAAGAGCCAGGGTTTTCACTCTGGAAGAAGAAACATACAAATATTTAATGGAGAGAAATTAAAAAAACAAACAAACCTGTGAAAACGGATTGGAATTGGAGATATCAGTGTGAACTCATGATTTCTAAAATGTATATGTATGTATATTCACGTATATGTATATATATATACACGTACGCATATGTATGTATATTCAGCTCTGTTTACTAAAAGGACCTAATGTCAGATATATCCATTAGCAATAAGCACATTTTGCACCCAGATTTTGTTTTCTAACAACATTCTCCACTAAAAGGAATCAGAGTTCATTAGAGAAATGGTTGATTCCAGGGCTGGGCATTATAGCTATGAGATGTGGAGCCTGGAATATTTCATTATGCCAAAAAGTAAGAAAGTACTTAAGAAAAAAAAAAAAAAAAAAGCATCTTACAAGACAAAAGCACCAACTTGGATATTTTGGATATTTCAGGCAAAATAAAATATATTATTAAAATAAATTTTACCTGTTTCATTTCACTTTAATGTAGCTACTAAAATATTGAAATTATATATGTGGCTGGCATTAGATTTCTATTGGACAGCACTGATGTAGAACATTCATCTCACAATGATTATGGCCTCTTGCCTTCTGCAACACCACTGATCTTAGCTCCCTGAATACGCCCCGGGTTCTGGGACTTCTCCCTCTACATACCCATGCTTGGTGCCCATGCACCATGATGTTGTGGGGTCAGGCACCTCCTACACTGTCTCCCCTCCATCTCCACTTAGTTCTCTTCTGTATTTCAAAGGCGACAAGCCCAAAATGGATTTATTCTATTATATTTTCCTTAAACTAGAGCCTTACTCTGCATTCTCTCTCAGCAAACAGCACCTGCATCATTACCATGCTTATAAGCCTGATATTGCTGGTCTCCCTCCCCTGCACCTCCACGTGCAGTCAGAGACCACATCTTATTGATGCTAGCTCTTGAGTAAACCCATTACAGGTGACTCTCTTCTGCAGGACAGTCCATCGCTGATGTGGCCCTGCTGCCCCGTC